AATATCGCGGATGCCAAGTGCTAACACAGTCGCTCTGGAACTCTGAGCGCCAAACCGTGTATTGACGAAAATCGAACCCTCCTGGGCGCTGCCCATAAGACATCAATTTTTTTCGCAGAAATCTTTTGGGGAGTATTCTCATAAACTCTCAAAAGTGTCATGGCACTCGGATTAACGCACCCTCCCGGGAAGCTACCCTTGCGAAATTAAAAAAAAACTTTTTTTTTGTTTTGTTTTTTGCAGAAACCTCCCCTGGAGTATTCTAATCAACTCACCCAAAGTTTCATGGGGATCTGTTGATCGGTGTCATTTGGCAATCGACTTTTATTTTTATAAATCGAATCGCTTCCTACCGGTGCTCCACCCCGGCAAAATTGACATTTTATTTTCGCGGATACATCCCAAGGAGGAAGGATTATTCTCAACAACTTCCTAAAGTATCATGGCGATCGGATGAAAGGTGTATTAATAAATAAAAGTCAGACACACACAGACACATACATACATTGATATATATATATATATATATATATATATATATATATATATATATATATATATATATATATATATATATATATATATATATATATATATATATATTGAATCCTAATCAAATATAATGTTGAAATAAATATGTTAGTGGCTCTTTGAAAGCTGGGAAATTTATATTGTAAATGGTAACTTTTGGTTCTTCCATCTCAAAAGGTTGCCGCCCCCTGCCCTACGTTGTTTCACCACAAGTCTAACGGACAGGTTTAAAGCCCAGTCGTCGTGAATGAACTTTGCCGAGTACGACGCGGGACTAAAAATAAAACACACGATCGTTTGTTACACTCTGTATGTCAGGCGCGATCTATGTCCGCAACCCCCCCCCCCCCAACCTATCGTACATTTGCAAGACGGCCGTGTAAGGTGTCGTCAATGAGTCGCGTCGCACCATCACATTACCATAAGAAAACAGGATCGGCGCATCTATGCCAGTATACTGACAGCAATAACATTCCGCTATTCAGACAGGCAAGCTTTATAAGCGGAGAATTTATATGATGAAAACAGTCCAACACAAATAATTTTGGTTAAGAATTATTCACCTGTGACAAATCTTAATAGTTTAGCTTATATACGCACAACTATTGCCTGACGTAGCTACATAAATATTATCATGATGTAATAGTGGTTAAGAATAATTCAACGTTGACAGATCTTTATATTTAGGCTTATATACAGGTATTGTCTGATGTAGCTATCATATTATTATCATGGTAAAGTCAAGTGGGTGATGTCAAACTTTCACACAATCAGCTCACATTAAAAGGGACTGGGTAAATATTATAATTACCTAGTGACTCCTGTAAAAATATTTACAGCTTTAAATTTTATTGTAGGCCTATACCCGAAGGTGAAATCTGAACACACATTTGAACAGATTTTCATAAATGATGAGTGAAAATAGCTATTTAATGCCATTTATACAAAATAAAATCATTGAAACACCTACCAATAAGACTTTATGTTTATAAGAGATTCAGTATTTTAAGTATCTTAATCTCCATAAAATACATAATAAATTGCATTTGATTTTAACATTTTGGTTGTTTAAAAGGAAATTTTTTTTTTTAAATCCTATAAATTAACAAATGTAAATAATAAGAAAGAATGCCCTTATAGAAAAAAAAGAAGAAAAAAACACAAAGTAAGAAAGATGATGAAAGGTTTACTTTAAATGACCTGCCTGATTATAGAAACAAACATTTAAAAATAAATGAAACTAAAGATAGAAATGTAAAGAAACCGATGTCATAAATGTGAAAACAAAATGGATAATTAGCACAATTTTCCCTATTTAAAAAAAAAAATCCGCAGGCACAACCCCCCCGAACTAGTTTAAAAAAATGTCTGACTCAGCACTGAGTGAAGATGGGTAAAACACACAGTCAGTGCAAGGCCTCACTAATTGTTTCACTTAAAGAACATTTCACACTTCACACTCAAGAGGTGCTTACAGCCTCTTGTAGTTGGTTCATGTTAGTAGGAACTAAGTGGAATCCCTTACCTATATATGTATACAGTTAAAGACCTACATACTTGGTACTCTATGGAATTAACTTTTTAAAATAACCTGTAACCATGGTTACACAAATTATGGCTATACAGTCTACAGAAATGGCAAATGTGAGTCATATAAACTGCATATATGTAGGGTGCTAAAACTGATTAACTCTACTTCACCTGCAGACACTGAATATCACACATTAGAGAAACATTTGTTTCTGTATTTAAAAATTGACTAACCCATTAATTCACCAAAACTCACCATGTTTGAGCAGGAGTATAATCAAGTTGAATGAATTTTTTTTAAAAAGGTGAGCAGAACTTAATTGCAGTTAAAGTAAACAATGTAAAAACTGCTATCAATTTGTCACTATTTCTGCATCAGGATATTTATATGCATAATTCAAATATGAGTAAAGTTAAGAGAATGGGGTTAAGAGGAATGATGATAAATCTACCTGATGCTATCACTCTATCCCAGGACTTGCTTATGTTACCTTGGTTATTTACCTTAAGTACCCATAGGCTAAGTAGACTCAGTAATAAAGGAATCTCATGACAAGGAGTCTAATTTTTTTTTAATTTGCATATATCAAAAAATAAATGGTGATTCAAATCCCTATGCTTAAAATTGGGCACTACTTTTGTCATAAGCAAAGGAAAACGGATTCATTTTGTTAAATGACTTACATTTATTTATATTTTACTTATATAAAAACACTTAAATTGAGTACTGATTCATCAACACATTTTTTTGTTATTGGTCCCTAGATACGTTAAGAAAGGTTTGCTGTTATCAGTAACAATACTCCCATCATTACGAAAGTAGATTTACAATACAATAATGGTGATTAACTTTGAAGATTTATATTCTACAAATCACACTAGACCCAAGATAATTTTGAATGTATATTTTAAGAACATCAACCAGATGAAAGAGTGAAACATTCCTGCCTTAGAATAGATTACACTTGATTAAAACTAACAGAGTTTAGGGTTTAAAATCTATCAGTATTTTTGTTTTAAATATTTAATTCCGTAGAGTGAGGGGGTGGGAGGTAAGCCATTAGGGGATTAAAAATAAAAGACCTAGATCTAGCTTGAAATTTAAATTTAGAGTAAGCGAGTGGTCATGGATAAATAAGTAGACAAAGAACGATAGGTACCTGTATATAACCTTTGCATAATTAAGTATCTGACAGAGCCTAGGCCCTAGGTTATTCTACTTGATCTACTAGTACACTATGTCCAGCATTTTTAGTTTGAATTTTAGTATAGCTCCCCTTTTGGACTCGGCAGTCCACAGAGGAGGATGAAGTTGAGTTCCTGTTGCTGAGATTGTTTGGCAAAGGAATGGATACAGATAGAGTGGTCAGCACTATGCCCAGCTGCCTTTACTTTCTCTAACATGTGCCAGGTATCCTTCAGAGCTGGGTGGACTCAGGCATCTAATGCACTTCAGCCCGAAGTCTGGAGACTTTTGGGTCAGCGGATGTTAGCTCTGCCGTCCAACTTAATCTAAATATTTATTCAGGCCAATTTCGTTAGGCCCTAATTTATTTTTAGAATTCATTTTTGTTAGTAATTTTATAGGCCTATTTGATAGGCCCTAAATAAAATTTAGTTGGGCTAAATGCTAAATTTAAGCTAATTTAAAGTAATTTTTAAAAATGTACTGTAGGCCATAGGCCTAACTATTTTTAACTAGGCCCTATCTAAGTAAATTATTGGGTAATCTATCGTTTTAAGTACGTAAAATCGCCCGCGGCTATTTATGTACGAAAACGTTACCTCATTGTCAAGGCTTTAATAGAAGTATATTGTGATATGTTTGTGTCAAATATTATAGATAAATGAATAATAAACCTAAATCAATGGCTAAATATATCGATATAGGCCAGAAATTAACTTTAAACAGCAGTGTCTGAGAGCAAGATTTGCTATATAAACAGCAGCCATTTGTAAAATAGAGTGGCTTCCCCCTGAATCTGGCGCTAAAAGCTTATAAAAATAAAACTTAGACAAGATGGCTGCTATAGTAAATGTGCATGGTTGCATCTGTTGGAAACATCGCTAGTCTTCATTTATTACGGAAAAGTTTTAATTCAATTGTTTAAAAACAGGTACATAAATGAATCAAGGAAACATTTTTGAATTTTTTTAAACATAAATCTTCCTCAAAATGTGAAAATATTATTAAAATTTAAGGAGTCACCTGTTTTTCACATTACAAATCGCGGGCGATTTTACGTACCCAAAACGATAGATTACCAATTAATATTACGAAGTGTCTACTCGGAATAAGATTTTTCGGCAAAAGATAGTTCTGCGCATGCGCAGTGACCTATGGCTAGGGTTAGGGCTAGAATGAGGGTTAGGGTTAGGGATAGGATTAGGGCTAGGGTTAGGGATAGGATTAGGGATAGGGTTAAGGATAGGATTAGGGTTGGTATTAGGGTTCTGCGGTTGTAAACACACGCATGCGCAGTACCATCGAAAACATCGCCGCTAAGTCGTAGTTTCTCTCCATTGCGCATGCGTATCGCATGCGTATCTTATTCCGACTAGAATCGGCCTTAATATTATTGTAAAGCTACTGCTGTACTTTTAAGTACTTTAACTAACTAAGCTAGTCGAACAGCTAAGTACTAAAGTATCTTGATCTAGATTTATTCTACTTTGAGTAAGACTTCCCACTATATATATAAATAATAGCCCCGGCCTAATCGTAGGCAAAGAACACTGTGACTGACACTCAGACTAGCCGCCCTTAATAAGAACACACTCATCACACTGTGACACTGAGACACCAATGAAGGTATTAATTAATATATTAATTAAAATAGGAGCCTATAGTCTAAACCTAAATAAGTTATGATAATATTGAAGGGAAAATCGATGGCTTTAAAATACAAAATTAAACGTTACCGGCTAGCCTAACTTACTTCAAATTCTTGTCTTCCAAATGGTCACCTGTGTCTTCCGTCTTGCAGTTTAGAAAATAAAATTCCTCTATTTTTATTTACACAACCGGAAATACCTTGTTTCGAAACGAGGCTGTCAGTGTTTTTGTTTACCGTGGTTACATACTACATACTGAAGTGATACAGTAAGTTTCAAAATGTTCCTATACTAGATCAGTCACTAGTTCTTGATCTTTATTGTATTTTCTACATCTCTAAACATTTGTATCATCCTTAGAAGTGAATGTAACTTTTTTTGTTAATTCTAATCGAAATCTACATACAAAATATTAAATCTCAAATCGACAAATGAAATAGGCCTAAGTCAAATAAAAATTAATAAATGACTCAAACTCAAATGACGAATGAGATAATAATTATTATTACTGTAATATAAATATACTGAACTGACTGATGATACAGTAGATACAGCCCCATGCCCAAATGAAACAATCCACATGGAACTGTTCAATCAATGTTAATGTTACGTTTTAGATTTACTTTTCTATATACTATATATAGGCCTGGATCTAGTATTTAATATAATCATGGTGACAATATTTCAATAATATTGTGAATATTAGGTCTAAACTAAACTCTATAGGCCATAGGCTAATAATAATATATTAATAATATATATGCCTATAGGAAATAATGATAATCATTATAAAGCTAGTAATAGTAATAGGTCTTTAGTTAGGGACTAAATGATAAATTTAATACAAATGTACCATGTAGAATATTGTATATCTGTGTTGTGTTATATTGTGGCATATGATTATCAGATGCTGATATGTATCACTATTGAATTTTGATTAAAACTAAAGATTAAAAGTGAAATTTTACCCCATACAAGCCCTAACTAAAATTTACTAAAAGACCTGAGCCCTAAACCAAGTTTTCATGGCATTTTGGCATAGCCCCAACAAATGGCAGTTCCACCTTCCTGACTAAAATATTACAATAATACTTCTAACATTTACTACACTAAAAACCTAATGCCCTAATATCAGTATTAATTTTTGTGGATGTCTAATTGATTAGTAATAACTAGTATGCTATAATTTCAGACTAAAAGATATGCAGACAACAAATATAAATCCCTATCCAGGGTTTGATAGTACAGGTGAATACTGTGAGACTAAATCAAATGGACGTGTGAGACCCGAGGCAGAGGAATATGCAGAAAAAAGTAGAGGGTGCATAAACCTCTTTAACTCAGAAAAACATACTCATGTCATTCAGCCACCTCCTTCCCCTCGGTGCCCTACTGGAGAAGCAAGGCAAAATTATGAGCATTCAAGAACAGGACATATAGGAAATTTGCTCGGTGGGAAAGGGTTACCTTTACCACCTGAACACCAACCTGTCCCCAGGGTCACTGCCGAAAGTGAAGAGATTGCTGAAAGTCATAAAGGGAAATCAATGGGGAATTTACTATCAAATTATGGTAAAAATGCACCATCACCTAGACCTAACCCAAGGGTTAGGGCTGAAGCTGAAGATACAGCAGATTTAAGTAAAGGTGGGCGAATGGGAAGTTTATTGCATAGTTCAAACTTGGGCCAAGACACCCCTAGGAATGCTCCTAGAGTCAAACCTGAGGCAGAAGAGAATGCTATCAAAGGAAAAGGTGCAGGAATGGCAAAGATCATGGGGAGATATGGGGAGACACCAAGATCTTCTAGAATGGCCCCTCGTGTCAAACCTGAAGCGCAAAGCACAGCCGATCTAGACAGAGGTGTGCAAATGGAGAATTTATTTCACAGTTATGGAAAGCAAGCACCAGAGCCTAAGCAAGCCCCAAAGGTAAAGGATGGAAAAGAAATGGCAGAGATGGATAAAGGAGGAAGAATGTCCAGGTTGATGCATGAAATGGATAGGCTTGTTACTACACCAAAACCTCCTCCAAGGGTTGTTTCTTCTGCAGGGAGGATGAATGTGAAGAAAAACCAAGGCACTCTCAGTAATATTTTTGCTGAAACTTCCAAGTGGCATATTGTACCCAAAGCTGGTGTAAGAAATTGATATTAGAGTTGGGTTTTTTCTTCTGAGGATTAGTGTAATATTATATAGTATAAATTGCACATTTATTATTTTTTTATCCTGCTGCCAAAATAGATAAATAGTTTTTGTCTTCAAGTTACAAAGCCTAATTAATAAATTAATTTAAATATTTAAGTATTATTTTTTAAAAATCCAACAACGTGATATTTAATGAAATGTATTAGCTGTATAAATCAAATAGTTGTTGCAATTAAGTTTAGAGTATATTATATACTACATTTAGAGTTTTTTCCATAAATTTCATATTTTGCTCATTATGCCAGATTAACTTCATGTTTTTACAATGAATGTAGAGTTGATCAACTAGTTGCTTTTTTTTTTTGGAATGTACTTATTTATGTGATAACATAATTTGGTTTTTTTATACTGTTGTTTTAGTTCAAATAACTTCACATATTGATTACAAAATGGTTATTGTTTTATAATGAAACTTTTTATATATATAGATTGTTTCATTTTACATTTGTTTTTTGTTTTTTTTTAATTTTATGCCATTAAAATAACTGCACACTGCCACATAAAAGACATTAGTTCTAGCAAAATTAGAAAATCAATGCTTAACTTGTTCTATTTTGTTCTAAACATTTATAATTCCCTTAACCACATAGATTTTTATTATAACAGAAAAATGTTTTTTTAATGCCTTAAGATGTATTCTCTTCAAGAAAATTGCTCATTAAAAATAGCCTTTCACTTACAACAGCTTAAAATAGCCAGTTTTAAGAATTTCTATGGTTTTTCTTCAGTTTACAAAAATTTAAAAGAAATGTTATACCTTCCTATAATGGTAGATCTACTGCTAAAATGTTTTTTGCCATTTCCATTTCAGACAAAAACAAAACAAAATGATGTTTTTTGTTAATAATTTGTTTGTTGTTTTTTCTTGTTAATTTGCAATAAGGATCTAATATGATCACACATTTTAAATTAAAATCAAATTTCAAAAGTTTTTATTATTATACTTATTAAAAAAACCTTACCTGAAGATTGTTTTCCTATAATGTATTAAATGTAACTTGTGTTTAAAATTGTAAGACTGTGACATCTTTTTATAAGTGCAATTATATTTTTGTAAAGCATTCACTCCACTGTCTCAAACAATTAAATATGTTACAATAACAAAAAATGTGTGTTTGTGTTTGTTGAATTGTTCTGTGATTTTGTTTTATTGAGTTATCAGTCAATGATATATATTTTTAATTGCTTATTTAATGTAGTTTCATAATAAACATGATAATGATGGAAGGTTTGATTATTTTCCAAATCAGCTGATTTATCACCATTAAATACTTAGTGATAACTTTACATATGTAAATCATAGAAGAAATTATCTTTACTGGTAGTTTTATTTCAAACATTATAACAACATCTTTACACCATTCATCTCATTTTCTAATACAGAATAAATAAATAAATGATGTTTGTAAAAAAAAAATATTAAAATGTATCACTTGCTTTAATAAGTAAAAATACTTTAGACAATCACTCTCAAAACTTTAGCATGTGCTTTATGTTGAGTATTAAAGCAAACCACAAAAAAATAATTTGAAATAAGGCTTATAAGTATGTATGGTAAATCTTTGCTTTCTTTTACTGATAATAGAAACAAAACTTTACACCCTAATACAAAAATTTTAAAAACTAAAATTTGTTATAAATCATCAACAAATTATATTGTAAATTAAAACTCATATATATATATTTAAGTCTATCAAAAAGCAACATAATGTTCTGTAAAGGCATTAAAAAAAAATGTCAGCCCCATTTGGAGATAGTATTTTAAATTAAATGATTGACATAGACTGCAAGGATGAAACTCTTCCTAGACCAAAAGAACATAATTTATATGACAATTATTTTAACAACCAAACTATTGTGATTATAACAACATAATCAACTTTTTAATTGGTTGTTAATTTGTGTACCTTTTGTACACGACATCTGGTAAGATTAAATTCATAATACTTGGAGGGCAGGTAAAAAAAATTTCAGTAGAATTAAATTAGCATTCTTTGTTTTTTGTAGCTATAGTATATACAAGGACTAAAAATACACTCTTTTACTGACTCAATTAGTCTTGGTTGCTACAATTTGTAACAATTTTAACTATCTTAATTCTAGTTTTCTGCCAACATCACCCACCATCTGTAACTTTCTTACATGTGAAGAACATAAGAATTAACATTTTTTTCTCCGAAATTCTCTCTAAGCTCTTTTGTTTTCATAACTTGTTCAGCTGTTAAATATGCACCATAAACCACAAGCAGGCAGGTCGGACATTAAAAAGTCACTGCATTAATCATCTTTACTTTGCTTTCTATGATATCCTTAAGCCACATCTCCCTAAAACGTGACAGCCCAGGCCTAAGGAAAAATATAACAAACTGTTTACTTTAAAAAAACACATTTCTTTGTATCATAATCAATTAATAATGCAGGCCTAAATTTAAAATATGTGTAACAATTTTTAACAACTTTTAGTCCATTAAATATCAAAAAACATTTCTTTTTAAACTTGTAGAATTAAATAAGTATCAATGTGTTTCGAAATAATATTCAAAATTAAAGTAATCTTTTTTTTGTTTTAAATATTATTATAAATATAAAAAGTACTAACAAATAAAATAAATAAGTTTCTAAAACTTACTTATGGATCAACCTGTTTGTTTCAAATACATAAAAGACTTCAGCAGGGTCATTCTGTAATATTGTTTAAACCAGTTAAAACACACTACAGATATAATTTGGTACAACACTAAACCCTAAAATAATTAGCAATACTGTAATCAGTTTTCTAGTCTTTTGGAAATATCTGTTTTGAGTGAGTTTAACTCTATGAAAGTGAAATATAGTTTGAAAAAGTAATTTTAGTGTTTAATTGATTTCCCATACAATAGATATCTTGATTAAGAAAATGTTTAAAATAAAAAGTCAGTGACATAATAGCACTTTTTGAGAAACAACAAGTTATTAAAAAGTCAGTGACATAATAGCACTTTTTGAGAAACAACAAGTTATTCTGTTAGAAATAGCATTATGTATTAATTATACAACTAAAACAAGCCATGACTGAATTAAATGAAATGTTACTAACCGGCGGTCTAATTTTTGACACCACAAAAGTAAAATAGACTGAAGCTGTCGCTCTAGGAATGGGCTTGCGGCGAGTTGGGATGCTCCACTTTACACGGTAATAGTAGCGCCTGTCAAATTCATGGTCTTCTTCGCTCAGGAAATCTACACAGTATAACCAACAATTTTCAAACTCCCATGTCTGAAAGATAGAGTTCAAAAATGTTTCCCACGCCTTGTGATTACACATCATATGTTGCAGCAAACTTTAATCATTATTTTCTCAATAAAATGGTTTTACAAGTGTTAATTTATTTTATATTATGTAGGGCCAGTTGATAGTAATTATAAATGAAAGAAATTATTATTGTTAAAAAAATATAAAAATTCTGCACTATGTATATTGAAAGAGACTTGAAGAGAACAATTAATATATGTAAACCTTTTATAGATCAATAATTTTATTAATATCAGGCAAAGATTTTAGGTGCTTTGACGACAGGTGCTTTGACCATAGGTGCATTAACTGCATCTGGGTTTTGACCACAGCAGGGTTTTTTGCACAGGGGCTTTGCTTATATGTGGTTTTTCCACATGCGGTTTTTATAATAATAATAAACTAAAAGCTCCTGTTGTCAAAGTCCCGAAGGTCTAAGCACCTGTGGTCAAAGTTACACTTACCCAGACAAAAGAAGCGTTTGTTAATGGACTTTACCAGAATAGTTTTTTAAAAACAATCTCCTTGCCTTCAAATCGTTCTAATTAATTTAAGAATATCATTAAATATTGTACTCAGAACATAAATTTCAATATATACTTACCTTAATAAAATCTCGGATTTTCATTTCACCCTTTTCAGCTGTGAATTCCTCAATAGTTAACCATTCAATGTTTTCAATTGTGTAGTTTTCATCCTCTTGAACTTTTTGATCACGTGACTTGTGAAGTTGCTTGATAGATTCGAATGACTTTTCCCTGTCTGACATACTTGTTTCCAGTCTACGAAAGGCCAAATCAATGAAGCCATCTATCATCTTTTTAGCTTCATTCATGTACATATCCTCCATGATGAAATGTTCTTTAAATAAATTTGAAAAATTGTATAATCACTTTTAAAAGTTTAATTTGGAACAATGGTAAGAGCTAACTTTAAAAAACATCAATTGTTGAAAAACTGACATTTCTGATTTAAATGAGTATTTTGGGGAGTTTAACCTCCCCTCAAGTATTATCATAGTATTATGTGTCAACATGTTATGCACCATTTGGCCAATTACCCCTGACTTCAGCCTGCTTTACTTTCAAGATTAACTTGAGTGTGAGACAACTTAAGAATACTTAAGATAGTGTGAAACTCAATGAGACTGTGAGAGATACTGACAAAAGTTGGTGGAAAAACCATGTAAATCTTTTATTCTGCATTGTAATGTCTGTGTGCATGTTAATTATTGTATTATTAATCATTTTTGTAATTATTATTATATTTACGCTAGTATTTAGATTTATATTTTACAACCTTCAAAGAATTTCTTTAATGAATAATTTAAAGACTGTCGACTTCGATGTCGACCATGTTGTATACATAGTTGTCACGTAGTAACGTCATGATCATAAATAATAACTTTTTTTCGAAAAGAGTTTCTCAGCCATTTTTTAATTTTTAGGCCTAGATCTAGATCTAGTAAATTTCCTAAATATTCATAACAAGTGAATTTAAAAAAAAACACCTTAAATTGATGTTGACGGATAGATCTAATATTCTAAATGTGTTGATTTTACATTACTACAACACTTAGCATTTAGGGGTGGCCACTCTGCGTAGCAATATTGACCATTATTTTTAGGTCAAATTTGGTTTTTTTTTAATTGGAGCATTTCAACCGGATGTTTACAAAGTTTACGGAATTAAAAACTATAAATACGTGACTGTTGCATTTGCCGACTGCTTCTTTTGTAGATGACTGGGCAGTTTTTAACAAAAATGGCACCAATAGTTAAAAAATTCGATTTACTGGTACTTGGAGGAGGCTCGGGAGGTTTAGCATGTGCAAGACGAGCTGCTGAGTTTGGAATTCAAGCAGGCATTGTTGAAGAAGCAAGATGGGGCGGAACTTGTGTATGTCAAAAATTTTGTTTTGTATTTTTTAATTAAAAAAAATATTTCAGATCTTTCCTTTCTGTCTTCTTTCTGGACTTTTTCTAAAAATTCTTCGTTCAGTGAGTAGCCTACTGATCAGTAAACTAGATCTAGAATCTAAATCTATATAGTACTATATACTATATTCTATTTAATTAAATCAATGTTTAATGACGTTTGTCTGATTAAAAGTTAAAATTTAAAGTTAGGCTATAGACTATAGGGGAGACTGCTCTAACTTCGACCGGGTTCTAACTTCGACCGATTTCTTAGTATGGTCAGAAAAAAAATTATTAAAAATTTAATAATTGCCATTGGACAAAATAAATTATATATTTAGTAACATATTTGAATTGTGGGGGATTTTCTTTTTTTAAGGTCATGTCTATTTTTAACCGTTTCTGCGCTTCTGATCGGCAAATATAAGGCACAACTCGTCAGTGAATTTTATCACGTGAAAATCACGAATTGAGATTTTGCTGTCTTAGGAGTGTCGTGCTTCACAATGCTCAAATTACAATTAATTCATACAATAAAATTTAAAAAATTAAAAAAGCGTTTGTAAAAAAGGCAGTCCTATATGTGTGTATTTTTATTTTTTAAATTTAAACAAAAATGTAAAAAATAAATTTGAAAAACAAATCGGTCGAAGTTAAAACCACTTGAAATTGGCATAGTTCTAACTTCGACCGACTGAAAAACTTGACCCTAAAACATAACTTTGCATGTACTATCACGTTTATCTATAGTTTTATTAAATAATTTAATCAGCTGAGCATTTCTTTTTCATTATACTTAAATATAACTGAAAACAACACAAGATGACATAATTATTGAAGGACCTAACGATCTATGTCCCCATCCTGCCCTTTCTGTCCCATCTCCAGCTGGTTTAAATATCATTATTGCGTCTCTATTTTCTACAAATTAAATATCATTTGTACCATAACATAGATCTGCATATTGTTTATTATAATGCCCTAATCTATTTACAATTTTAAGCCTTTTCCCATATGAATAAAACAATAATGTATATATAGGCTTATAGCGGTCGAAGTTAGAGCAAGCCGCTGGTCGAAGTTAGAGCAACCCGGTCGAAGTTAAAACCAAACAGAACGAAGTGGGGTCAGTGTCTAGCCTTGCATATAGCATTTATATTCTCCCTTGTGATTGGTTAACTATTTATACTGAACCAATCAGCAAATGATAACGTTTTTAATAGTGAAAAAATGAAACCGCTATGTTGATTAGCTTACGAGTTATAACGAAGAGAAGCGAACCTACGGACCGGACGAAAACGAATCGGTCGAAGTTTGAGCAGTCTCCCCTAGTTCTATATTTATAATATTATAGATGGATAATGTATAGTATTACTCGCTAACTTGGAGGCGTGGTCGGTTGCTAACAACAATATGGCGCCCGGACCGGACGCTTGACTTCCGACGATTTTTCGGCCAAATTCCAGAGACCTTCTACTAATTAGTATTTAAAATGTTTACCACGCGCAAAATGACGGGACTTTCACGTTATAACAACAAGCTATAGGTGGCAGGGCTATATATGCCAGAAAAGCATTTTAAAATTTGCGTTGGAGAATGAAGGCTAAATTTAAAAGTTGGTTTCATCAAAAATACTATAACTTTTTAAATATCGATTTCCATATTACAAAATTGATTTCCATACTAAAGCATTATTAGTTTTATCAGTCTATGAAAAAATAAATCAAATATCGTCAACCGTTTTTTTATGAGACCAGCCGAAAAAATGACAACCAAATTTTTTTTGAAAAAAAAAACCACGTGACCACTATTTGGTGATCACTAGTGAGGAACTCTTGTGCATGGCCACTTAAAAAGTCTAACTTGATTTGTGGTTTTCTTTAGCTTCAAGCTTAAGAAGAGTTGTCATGGAGAGATGTGTTGGACATGGCAGTGATTGACAATAAATATTAAATTAAGTAATTTAGTTTAAAACGAACTAAAAACTCCAAAGTTAGTGCCTAATGGATTAAATATGGATGTCTATTATTCAGTGGTCATGTTTAAATTGATAATTGCGTAAATTCTAGATTTAGTGAGAAAAACTAATAATTTAATAGGCCGATGCTAGCCGGAAAAAGATACGCATGCGCAATGGAGAGAAACTATGACTTGCCATTGCGGCGATGTTTTCGATGGTACTGCCCATGCGTGTGTTTACAACCGCAGAACCCTAACACCAACCCTAATCCTGTCCCTAACCCTAGCCCTAATTCTAACCCTAGCCATAGGTCACTGCGCAGAGCCATCTTTTGCTGACTAAGTGGAGACGTTGGGGAGAAAAATCTTCTTCCGAGTAGTCATTTCGAATTTAATACTAATAGATAGACCTATAAATCTAGATATCTACCTCCATAATACTTCCAATTTGTCGCCTTTGTTATAATATAAATAATTATTATCTTTTATCATATTACAATTTGTGAAATTAACTGAGACTTTTTGTGGGCCTGGTATCATCGGGTTGGGTCGGCAAAAGTTCATGGTTGCTAAAATGAAAAGACACAAGTTAGAACTCCCAGGCAGATGAGATTTGATTGCTGAGGATGGCAACCGAACTAGAAGAGAAAACTCCAAAAGCAAACAACTGTTGCATTGTAGTTAGTTCTTGGTTGGACTAAGGCTAAGGAAGTATAGAAAAGCAGGCTGAAATTGAGTCAACAGCTTATATTATTTTATATGGGCCATAACAAGTTGACTTTATTGTTGTTGGAGAAGATCCCTTCCAGCATTGCAATTAAGAACAAAAAGAGAAAAAGAAGTTGTAATTGTAATCATCAGCCCTCTGAATCATATGGGCATGGGGAAAAAAAGGAAATCTGTAAATATAAGCACATAGTCATAGGCTAAGCAATAATTCTTTTTAGGATGTTTTGCTTACACATTTTTAAAATTTTAGTCAAAGTTGGGAAGGGAATGGCGTGGTTGGTTGGTAGAGCATATAACTACTAACCTAAAGTCTCAACTTTAAATTCCATTTTCCTGTTCGTCGAACGTCCCTAATCTACCCAGCTCTGATGAATACCTTACACATGTTATGGAAATTAAATGCATCTGGGCATACTGCTGGCCACACTATCACTTCATATACAGAGGTCACTTAAAAAGTTGAACTCTATTTCACCTGCATCATTTATTGTCAGTTTTGCCAAGGGTACTTTTTACTTACTAACATAGTTAGGTAGCTATTTTGTTATTTATATTATTGCAGTTAATTTCTATTTTTTCTAGGTGAATGTTGGCTGTGTGCCAAAAAAAGTCATGTACAACACTGCCTTACATGCTGAATTTATACAGGAGCACAAAGGCTATGGTTTTGATGTAGAGCTTAAAGGATTCGATTGGAGGTAAGGAAAAATGTCGAGTTGCTAGTGATATGTTAAATCATTTTTTTATAAAATCGATTCAACATTCATAATTAAATTATTAATTTGATTTGAAAATAATTATTAAAATGTATTTGAATTAAAATATCCTTTATAATATTTGGCCAAGTTAGTCTGCAGCTGACAAAGGGTAATAATCAAAGAAATTCATAACAATGAACAGTCGAAGAAGAGTGACAGAGGGAAAGGGAAATTGATAATGACATAATTTTTTTAGGTTAAAACCTTTGTGTGTTGTTTACTTTTTCATGCATGTCGTCCCTCAGGCTTTGAGCTCATGTTAGCCTCAGAAAGTCATTTTTTAAATTGACTAAGCCTCATCGGCCCCACATTTATATCTTTAATTTCTTTTAAAAATGTTTCACTGCATCATTTAAATTATTCATGTATTTTTATTTATAAATTCACCTGTCATTTAATGGAATTTTTTTCAGTCGTATTAAAAAGAGTAGGGATGATTATATCAAGAGGTTGAATGGTATCTATGAATCTAATTTAGAAAAGGTAATTATTTTTAACAATCTGTTTTCTTGTGCCATCTGACTTAAGGGGGTAGACTCCAGTAGAAAAAAACTTTTTTAATACTCGTTTAGAAAATAATTGTTTCTCTACAGCTGTTTTAAGTTACATGTGCATATTTTTTTTTAGTTGAAATGCATATGCAGATGTACCTTAAAATAGCTATAAAGAAATAATTGTTGTATAAGGAGTATTAAAAAAGTTTTTTTTACCTGCGCCTACCCCCTTAAGTTTTATAATTAAACACGGTTTGAAGTTGTATACTTAAACTTTGATTACTCTGTAGCCAAGATTTTTTAATTGTTTTTTTTTGTCTTCTCCAAGTCTAAAGTGGAGAGAATTATTGGTCATGGGTCGTTTACACCAGACAAATGTGTTGAGGTCAATGGAGAAAAATATGCAGCAGATCACATTTTGATTGCAACAGGTGGCCGTCCTGTTGTTCCCAATATTCCAGGTAAAGACTGGATTTTTGGCACGGCACAATGTATTTTATCAGTAATGAGCTGACTCGCAACGTAGCATACACCGCTATCTAGTTGTTTTATTTTCTACTTATCAACAGTTCATAATTTGTGAATTCAACACTATCCCACCCCCCCCCCCCCCCTGCCTCCCCCCACCCCGCCCAGTGAAAGCAGCAGTTTACAGGCGACAATGAAAATATCAAGCAGAAATTATTATCTTCCCTTACTTTCAAATTGTTTAAAAACTAAGTTATCTGCCCCTAATAGCAGTCACTTATTCGAACCGGCTCTACTATTGTAAACATTCGAGGTGAACCATAGCTGACCTGACAGGTGGGGATGAGGGTGGTGGCTAAGCTGCGTGGTTGTCTTCTATGGTCCCCATGAAGAGAATTATATATAGGTATTTGTCAGGATTTTTAAATTGTTTATTTATTCAATTATTACTTCATAAATAAAATATATTTATAGGTGCTGAGTATGGAATAACTAGTGATGGCTTCTTTGAGCTTGAGGATTTACCCAAGTAAGTCTTGGTGGATATCTAACATAGTGTGTTAATCTCAAGGGTAAATGTGATAGAGTTGTGATAGTTTTATATTGTTACTAGTTATAAAAATCCTCTCTTGAATTAGGAAAGTGGTTGTTGTTGGTGCAGGGTACATTGCAGTTGAGCTGGCTGGAGTCTTTGCTACTTTAGGAGCCGATACCTCTGTGCTTATACGCTACGATCAGGTAGCTTAGTTACACTTTGTTATAATCTTGTTAGTTTGCTAACAGTATTAATAACCAGTGTAACATGATTAAAATAAAACTGCACTGCTTTGTTTAAGTTGTATTTGTTAGTTTACATTATTTTATAAAGAGCTGTTAACTATATTTATAAATTAACTTATTAATTCAAAAACTTTATTTGACTCCACTTTTATGTTAATAAAACTGTTTTTTTAGGTTCTTAGAACATTTGATAGTATGATAAGTAAAAGTGTTACGGAAAGTCTTGAGGCAGGAGGTGTGAAAGTTTGTAGACGGACAGAAGTAAGTTGGTGCTTTTTTATATATCTGCTTTCTGCTGTCTTAGAAAATTGTTAATCTCTCATTTTAGAAATATGTTCTTCATTTACTGAATTTAATAATTGAATAATTAAAATGTGTTTCCTGCTGTTTTAGGAAATTGCTAAAAGTCATTTTAGAAATTTTCTTCATTCTTGACTTTAGTAATTTGATTGATTTAGTAAGTGCTGATATTTGCTAAGAAAAAATGTCAAAAGTGTATTTATTTATTTCTCATTTATTTACTTACGATTTGAATAAAATTTCAATACTCAGTATGCTCAATACAGTAGTTTCCATTTGGACATAGGTATCAAGTGTGACTAAGGAAGAAGATGGAACCCTCACTCTCAAAATTAATAATGGGGTGATTGATAAAGTCGACTGTCTTCTATGGGCTATTGGCAGAGTTCCCAACTCTGATAGTTTAGGCTTGGAAAATGCTGTAAGTTAATGGTCTTAACAGATTAGTTCTACTCAGTCTGAATGGGTGTCAGAGGGTTTCTTTGCTTGTTAATATGAAACATAATTTTAGAAACTACATTGTGTGTATAACATTACAAGTGACCTTTGAACCTAAGGTCTGTCTTTCACCACTAAACAGTTTTAACATTACCCTTGATGTCACCGGAATTCTTTTTAAATAGTGAGGTTGCTAGCAATTCATGAGTAATTTGTTTTGCAGCCATTTTTGTTTAGGTGTTGTCCTGAAGAAGAGAAAATGCTACATACCAATAGATCATTTTAGTATATTCTATAATCTATATATCCATATATTTTATGGATATTTTGCACCCACTAGGGAAGGTTTTTTTTTTGTTTCAAATAAGTAAAAGTATACAATTTCTATATTTAAATTTTTTTAAGTTTCATCCTGAGGGGGGGGGGGGTGTGGTCATGCTCTAAAAGAACTTCTCCCTGTTGTTGCATTGTTATATTTTATTTAACATAGACTTGCAACAGCTAAAATCATGCAGCAAAATACTTTTTTAAGGGTGTTATTGTGGACAAACATAACAACATAGAGGTGGATGAATACCAGAACACCAATATCAATGGGATCTACGCTCTAGGGGATGTCTGTGGAAAAGCCTTGCTCACTCCTGGTAGGTGGTGTGAAGCAGTGGTTGCCAGCTCTAGTTGTGGTTGTTAAAAAGTTGATATATTTAGGTTTTAAGTTGTTAGTTGATAACTATAGTGCTAAAAACAGAATCTAGAAGTGGTTTTAAATTGTTGGTAAAGATACTTTTTTATTTATTTTTGGCTACATATTGCACTTATACTTTCAACAACGCAATTTAAAAAAAATTAAAACCAAACAGAATTTTAAAAATTTGATTTGCTTGTTTCTCCAGTTGCCATAGCAGCAGGCAGGAAGTTGGCCCACAGACTGTTTGATGGTAAAAAAGATTTCAAGCTAGACTACAGCAACATTCCAACTGTTGTGTTTTCTCACCCCCCTGTAGGAACTGTTGGTCTCACAGAAGGTCAGTTGATTTAGGTCTCAGTGGATGTCAGTTGATTTAGGTCTCAGTAGAGGTCAGTTGATTTAGGTCTCATTGGAAGTCAGTTGATTTAGGTCTCAGTGGAGGTCAGTTGATTTAGGTCTCATTGGAGGTCAGTTGATTTAGGCACAGATGGTCACTCCTCTTTGGTCTCACTGATGGTCAATTGATTTAGGTCTGACTGCTGGTCACTAATCTTTGGTCAATTTGCTTTGGTCTCACTAATGATCATCTTTTTTTGTCTCAATCTGAGTTTGTTATTTTTGGATTTCAGTTTTAAAGTTTGACTAATGATGAGTTTCTTAGTACTTCACTATTTTGTTTTTGTTTCCCTGTAGGTCAGTTAAGTTAGTTTCAGTTAGTGGCCAGTAGGCTGAAAGTGAAGATACAACTTGTTCTTGCATATTTATTTGCCATTCTATTTATCTCAATATTTCTTTACTTGAAATTCACCATTTAAATTATGTTTAAATTTGACATTTTTCGAAGGGTAATCTTTAATTAAGATGATGTACTTCTTCAAAATAGTTGTTTAATATTGATATAAATATTTCTTAATTTAAGTTATATAATTTGTATTACTTAAATATTTGTTCATCACATACTGAATTACATTTCTATGTATACTCATCTTGCAGAGGAAGCAGAGCTGAAGTATGGGAAAGAAAAACTTAAAATCTACACCTCATCGTTTGTGCCTATGTACTATGCTGTTCTGGAGCATAAAGTGCGGTGCCACATGAAGCTTATATGTGTTTTACCTGAGGAGAAGGTGGCTACATTTTCCTGATTCTATGCTTGTTGTTGCAGACACTTTTCTCAAATATGGGGGGGGGGGGGGGGCACTGGTTAAAATAATCTATATATATTTCTTCATTTGGAGGTGGGGGTGGACATGTTTTAAATCTGAGAGTTGCCTTGCCTGAAAGAAACACTGGTTATATCAGTGGCTTTAGAGAGAGTTATTTCCTTGTCATGCCAGTCAATCCATTCTGAGCAGTTTCTTTGGTTATAGTTAGCTGGGGGGGGGGGGGGGACAGACATGATAAGTATGCTATGCCTCAAAGAGGTAGGTAAATAGAGATGGTCAGTGGCGTACAGATTGTTTTGTTGTTTCAGACCTAAGTGTGTTTGGTTGATGTAAAATTTAGCTATCAATACATATTGTTGAATGAACATTGTGATAGATGGGAAGACTAATAATTTTTTTAAAAAAATGTTATTTAATCAATAAAATGAAGAATTGTATTTTTCAAAAACAAAATTTAACCGGTCACTGAAGAATCCCCTTTTTTTAAAATTCAGTTTTTATTCTTCAACTTCTAGGTTGTAGGACTACACATGGTAGGTCAAGGTTGCGATGAAATGCTGCAAGGCTTTGGCGTGGCTATTAAAATGGGAGCCACCAAGGCACAGTTTGACGACTGTGTCGCCATCCACCCGACATCATCTGAGGAGTTGGTCACCATGCGGTAAAACTTTTCATTCAACACCTTCACAGATGATCATCCGATGCTTTAAATCAAATTTTTCATTATATTTTAGAGGAATATAAACAGTATGTAGTTGATTAAATTATTTAATGCTAGACATAATACAATATTAATGCACTGATTATTTGACAGATTTCCAGTTTTCTGTCTTATTCAGACTTATTTTAAAATGTTATCTAATTATAAATATTTATTGATTCTTGCAATCGTAGCTTCTATATTTTTCTATAAATATAAATTTATCAAAATTTTGTGTTCTATATACTTATTAAGCCAATGTTTTAACATAAAAATGTTTTCAAATGCTTGTTGATAAAATAAATATTTGTTTACTGTTGAGTTAACTTGAGCTGTGATTGAGCTTAAATTAGAAATTACTTTTCTACATTTAATTAATAATATTAATAAATATTAAATAAAACTTTAACTATCAAAACTGTTGTTTTTATTGGTTTTATTACTGGGTTCTTTAGCATTTAGCAAAGATTATATGATGATTAAATTATGTACTAAAGACATGACACTGTTGGCTATGTCATTGTTTTCCTTGTCATTACTTTAATACACCTCTATAAATTAGTTAATGTTAGTTCTAACTGAATACACCTCTATAAATTAGTTAATGTTAGTTCTGTGACTGAACAGGCCTTTAGGAATTAGTTTAAGTTAGCTTTAAAGGAACACACCTCTAGAAATTTGCATAGGTTACTTCTGTGACTAAGACACCTCTAGAAATTAGTTAATGTTAGTTCTAACTGAACACACCTCTAGAAATTTGTAAATGTGAGTTCTGTGATTGAGACACCTCTAGAAATTTAGCCCTGTGACTGAATACACATCTAGAAATGTGCTGATGTTAGGTCTACTAACCTTTGACCTAACACACAATATGTAATAAAAAAAATATTCCCTTAATGTACAAAGCTAATACCAAACGTTTCCTCATGTCAACAAAGAGAAAACAGAAATGAGGTTAGGTAGTGATCAAGAAGGCGTTCACCTTACATCAATGACAATTTTCCTTTATTGCCGTCCTGACATTTCAAAGAACTGGTGAAAGCTGAAAGTAATTTGTGACCTGGCCTTTCACAACTGTGACATTTAAAGTTTAGCTTTGATCCACCCATGTTAATTTCTTCACCACGTGCATCCATTTTTTTTTGTCATCAGTGTACAGACTGTCGTTATTGATTTCTCATTTGATAATCTGTACTGAGTAGGGTTTTAGTTGAGTTTAGACTAGGGATCTAGGTCTTTGCGTTTGCTCTTCGAATATTATTTTATTGGTTTTTTTTTTTTTTATATTTTCAATGATAAAACTCTCTCAAAATGCCTAGCTGTAAGACTTGTGATTTACAGTGTCCACTGGCATGACCAATGCTCCGTCTTCTCTAATTAATATACTGAGGCTTTTTATGATGGGCTATTTATCAAAAGTTTTATGCAACAACACTAGAACATTGTAAAAAAGTGTAAAAAGAGGTCCAAATTACATTGATTTATTTCTTTTTATATGTATATATAAATAAATGTGTAGATACTTTATATATTTATATAAGTATTTTTTTCCCCTAATGTCTAACTCTATCCCATTCTCTGTCCCTAGTCCTAACCTCAGCCTAAAGTGATACTAGTTTCATCCCTAGCTTTGGATGAATCAATTTTCAAACACAAGTTAAAATTTTGATATAATACAAACAAACTTTGGAAAGAGTAATAAGTCAAATTTTGTATTTATTCAAACATTTTATGTGAAAAATTTACATTAGACCACTGACCACTCCAGGCAGCAAAGATTACTTTTTAAAATATTGATTAACATATACGCCTGTTAACCCACTCTTATTATTAATTTACAATATGGGGAAAATATTATACAAAACAAAATATGTACATTTTTATTTATTAGATTTAAGACTTTTTTCTCAAACAAGCAAAAATAAATAGAGAATATGAAATAATTTTTATATTAGCTATGACAAGGAATTACAAAAATGAGCAAAAAAAAAGACAATTATTTATTAAGTTATATAGTTTTAAGTTCTGTTATAAATTTTGCAGGTATCCCCATCTGATATGTTATCTTGTGTTCTTAATCTTATGCTTTATATCCTCAAGATAAACTGTTACATGAACATAGAATTTTGCATTATAAATTACGTCAGGAATGATAATGCTTTTCACAACAGGCACTTAGTCTTGCACAGTCTAGAGTAGTAAGAAAAAAAATCAATATGACTTTTCTCTGACACGTGGTGGTTTTCGACCTCACCCTAAACAGATCAATACTGTAAGCACATTTAGCTTTGGCAGATTAACCATACGCATAATCTGACAGACATGTTGCAATGTCCTTGTAACATGTAGTTCTATACTTCCTATATGCCTAGCGTATATGTAATTGTATGGTCTTGTGTTAGGTTTTTGTGCCTAGGTTTGTAGGATGTCCTTAAATCTACCCATCTCTTATGAAAACCCGACTTCAGTCAGGATAAAGTAATGGTTGCTGAGCAAAGTGCTGACTATGCTATTCCCCTCATGTGCCAGAGAAATAAAAATTGGATATTAGTCACACGACTCCAACAGTATGAACATTGAGCATGGAATGATTTTGAAGTTTTGGTCTTTAAAAATAATGGAAGTAAAAATAGCTTTTATAGTAGCCTACATAAAAAAAAACAAATATTTCATACATTTAAAAATATAAATAGGCCTGTTGTTAATGAAAACTTATTTATTTACATTACCTAATGTTTTTTTTTATTAATATACAAATGGTTTTTACTTTTAATCTAAACTAAATGTTAAATATACTAATATTTTTAGCAGGCTTTTAAATTAACGATGAAAGACACGATGTACAAAAGGCTTTCAGGGTGGGGAATGTATGCTTAAATACTTTAATACAAATACACATTGAAAGACAGTACATATAAAGTTAATGGCCTATTATTAACTTGGCTGGGTCATGAAGTGACTTGACTGAAGAAAACACCTACCACCCAATATATTTTGCTTAAAACAAATGTGTTACCATGAAAAATGGTCACATAGCAATAAATTATTTACTGTTCTGCTACACTTATTCCCATTTAGCATTTTCTTTCAAATATTTTTCAAAACTATTTGGATAAAGGTCACCAAAAGAGAAAATAGACTTGTCATTTTGGGGGATATTACTAATGGGACTGCACAGCTAAAATAATTATCTAATCATTGGTTCAATCAAGCCACATTGAGTCAGTTATCAGCTAAAGCTAAATTTTTAGGCCATACATTTAAATTCAATGAAACCTCCCACATACATCTAAATTCAATGAAACCTCCTACAATTTTAAATTCAATGAAAGCTCCCCCATCAGTTTCAATTAGTTTAAACCTCCCCCATCAAGTTTAAATTAAATTAAACCTCCCCAAAAGTCAAGGTCTCAAATTCAACACAGACAGTCCTACTGCATCGAAAAATTGACAACAAAAACTAGCAGTAGGGCGCTGTCGTATTTTTCTTTTGCCATTAGTAAGAAAACTTTATTTTACGATGATATTCAATTCAACATTTCAATGCTAGACTGGCACGGAAAAGACAAAAAAATCAATATAAAAGCCAACATTCGTAAACTCTGAAAGTGGCTCTTTCGATTCACAACCGTAACTCGCTTACTCCAGCCAATCATAGCTGTTAAAACTCTATTCAGATATGTCCACGATACACGTTAGAACACTGAAGAGGTCCCAAGGCACTTGTAACAATGTGCCGTTAGGAAAGTGTAGTGGCGCGCACTACTCCGAAGGCGATCTCCCGTTGCGGAGGTAAACTTTGCTATGCGTTTTCTCCATCCGGGTTGGTTTTGCAATGGGACTTAGGGAACGTAACTCTGGTGCAGCTGTGGTCACCAGAGGTCTAAGAACGCTGAGCTGGAAACGGCAACAGCGGTGGCGCCCCCTGCTACAAGGAGAAGCCGCATTTTGCTGAGTCGACTTTTCTGGCTGTCGCCTGGAATAGGGAATGTATCCTGGGAAAGAAGAAAGGAAAACGGTTACTTTGGAATGTGTGATTCAATAGAACATTGTTCGTGAGTTCGGACCTCAGGCTCGAGTAAGGTGGTAGTTCCTATGTCCACCCAGCTCAGATGGGTCCCTGATTCACTGTCCTTTACTATAACCCTAACCCTAACTTTAACTTCTAACTTAACCTCACCATGCCACTATTATTAGCATGTAGTTGTACGGGCTACTTTATGTACGAACCGAGTATATGCCTATATTGTATTTCACATTAGGGCGCCGAAATTCATAGCCCCCTGGGCTTTTTGAGTACCCCAGTTCATGACTGCCACCCCCAATACAATTCTTTACTCACCCATCCGCCTTGCATGACCAGCCAAGGGAGCAACACACTTCCGGTAAAATCCACCACAACATCGACGACTTCCTGTACGAAGTCGGGGTGACCTTGACTTGCGCACTCCTCAGCAAACAACCCTGCCACAGTGAACATGGACACCACCTGCACGGACAGAGAGGGTGGGGCTTTAACAAACAAAAACAATCTTGATCTTATCAGCTAGAGGGAGAATTATTAACAATGTATCGAATTGATCCGGAAGTGATCGGTTCTTGAACCAACGATGCCAATAAAAAGCTATAAAACTAAAACATCGAATTTATTGTGCGCAGGTTTTGCTGTTTCAGGTGTCGTCCATAAGTGACATCACGTGCTTTGTCGATTCCCCCTCTCTCCCTTGACCCCTCCCCAATACACCATATATCCAGCACAAAACACCCTCTCCCTATTGCGTTTTTTTTCTTCTTACTTTTTTGAGGACATTGCTACTTATTATTTGACACTGTAAATTTGTGCAAATCAAGGAATTCTTTGATCACGTTTATTTCATTTAAATTTTTTTAAATCAAATTTAGAGAAAGAATTGTATACACTGATATATATATATATATATATATATATATATATATATATATATATATATATATATATATATATATATATATATATGTAACGAGCGAACAGTTACCCTGCTCGCAACGCCACATGTTACGAGATTATTTGCCTGTAGTGCCAAATGTAACGAGTTTAACCACTCATTCTACACAACATCGACTACAGTAGAAATACTCGAAGATGCAGGTTCGCTATTGATCCTTTTATTACATGAATCAAGAAATGCTTCAAAATAACACAATGAATCAACAGGAATGCTTCACAATAATAGTCTGAATCAACTGACCCCTAACAGTCCTCACTAGGCTTCATATAACTGAATCCACATGTCTAACGTCCTTCTTAACACAATACGGCTAATCCGTTCTATCTCCAACTTGATATGTCACACAGACTGACTGATCTAAAGCGAGCGATGAAGAGAGCGAGCGATCGAAAAAGGAAAGGGGAAAAGGGCGAGTTCAGCCGTCCCCTCCTATTTATCCCTTGTATTCGTACTCGTATTCGTACTTGTATTCCTCCGTAATCGATATTTGTACTCGATGTCTCCGACTACTAGTTGCGCAGTTCTAACGTACAGCCCGATTAATAAAACATCTGCATCCTATCAATCAAAGTTGACAGGCCGTCTGAATCCCCTCGTACCGTTTCCCAAAATAGCACGCGTTGGCTTTGAGATTGTTATCAGTCCGATTTAATAAGCCACCTGCTATCGGTTGCATCAGACTGTAATACTGCGTCGCGGCTTATCGTTCGTTATCAGTTTCATCAGTAGCTAGGCCTACCCTAGTTACATATATATATATATATATATATATATATATATATATATATATAAAGTGATTTAACTATTATAAGGATCTATTTGTTTGCTGTATGTGTAAGAACGTTATTCTCCACAAAAATTTCACGAACGTATAATATTAGATTTGAGCTGGGGTAGGGGCGCACCTAGTGACACCCTTCCTAGTGACGCCAGTAAATGTAATTTAATTTTTTTTTAGTCAAAGAAAAATGAGTTCGTTCCTTTTCTTTAACGAGCAATCAACATTTTAATGAGAAAAAGCCTGATAAATCTAAACTAAAAAGTTTAGTGCGTGTTGGGGGGGGCGGGGGGGGGGGGGGGGTTAGAGATTATTTTATAGGCCTGTTTGATTTGAGTTTCAGAGATGTTCTTTGTTATTATTTTCCGGGGGGGGGGGGGGGGCTCTTGAAAATTACGGGGATGGGGGAGGGGGAAGAGGGTGGACATTGGTTAATGTATGTATTTTCACTTTTTTCTATCTCACATCCGGACACTCCCCCCCCCCCCCCCCCCCCCCCCCCGGAGCGATGCATGAAGAAACACAGCTGATGAAAGCTCCGTTTCACTAGACGAAACAGACTAACAGTATCAGCGTGTATGGCTGGTAAACAAACACTGCTTATGTTGTCACATTTTTTAGAAAAAAAATACAATTGTTTTTAATGACAACGTCGGCCAACTTGAAACCCTAATAACACGCTAAACTATTTTATCACAAATCGACTTTGAAATTTGGCTTGTATTCGCCCCACCCCGTTTTAAAGATTCGCGAAGTGCGAAACGTAAAACCTCAACGTGTGAGGCTTAAACGGCCATTTTATGCGCATAACTCCGCTGAATTATTCATAGGCTGCAATTTGAATTAAAAAACAATTCCTCTGTAAAAACTGTCGCAGTAAGGCTATAAATTCGTTAACCTGAAAGTATTACATAAAACAATGGCGAAACAAGAATGTTGAGATTTTTAAAAAAAATATTTTTAAGTATGGGAGCTAAAGCCAGGAATTCTAACTGGCACATCAAGATTTCAATAATCCAACCCTTGTCGTAACATTGACAAATATAAAATATAACGTAGGTGAACTATTCTGAAAATACTGTTAAAAGCTTTAAGCTTACACTTTTAATGAAGCCTAATATAAGAGAAAAATTAACTTGCTAATAAGTGCATAATTAAAGTCAACTCAGTTTAACTTCAGTCATATGACACCACCCCCCCCCCCCCCCACCCCTAAGCTCCCTTGTTAAAAAAAATTCCCTCCCAGACTTAAAGGTCTAAAGTGCAGATGTAGACTTGTTGTGACCTTGGTATATAAAAAGGAAAATATGATTAACACCACGCCCAGACACTTTTTTTTTTGCTACTGAATTAGCCAGGTACCCACAAGAGCTGGGTGGACTCAGGGACGTTCTATAAACCCACGTCCGGTACAAGATACTGAGTTGCGGGGCTAAAAGCAATGTTGATACCAGATAAAATATTCCAACACGTCCTACTGACTCTTGATTCTCCACCTCCCTCCCCCCCCCTCTCACATACACATGTTAACGCGCACACTATAGGAGCAGTGGCGTGCAGAGGGGGGGGCGGAGGGGGCCCAGGCCCCGGGCAGCCACATCAAAGGGGCATCCAAAGGGGGTAAAAAAAATGTTTTTTTTTATTTTAATTTTTAATTTTTAAATTTTAATTTTTTTTTTTTTTTTTTTTTTTTTTTTTTTTTTTTTTTTAGGAAAGCTAAATGTCTACTAAGGTTTGTCTACCTAGGCAGAATTATCAAATTATCACAATTTGCCGAATTCACCGAAATGTGTATATACAATCAACACATGGCACTGATATAGTCATCGTACTGTCCGTGTCGTACAACCTTCAGGGAGAAAGGGGCATCGGTGAAGGGTAGTGGTGTAGTAGTCATTGATATTCCCCGAATAAATATATGCAGTCTTTGAATTAATAGAGTATCTGATACTTGTGTAGGTAGGGGCATCTTTTAGAGAACTCGCCCATAATCATTTTATACACTTGTGGTCATCCATAGAGTATTAAAGCACATGATTATAATTTACACACTGTAGGGGCATCTTTTAGAGAACACGCCCATAATCAATTTATACACTTGTGGTCATCCATTGAGTATTAAAGCCCATGATTATAATTAACACACTGTAGGGGCATCTTTTAGAGAACACGCCCATAATCATTTTATACTTTGTGGTCATCCATAGAGTATTAAAGCCCATGATTATAATTTACACACTGTTGGGGCATCTTTAATGTAATTTGCTTATATTCATCATAATACTTTTGAAGGGCATCCAAACAGTAATTATGCCCGCATTCATTTTATATATCGTCAGGGCAACTTTAAAGTAATTTACTTGTATTCACGTTTGTATTTATATAATTACAGCAATTATGCCCATATTCGTTTATATATTATCGGATAATAATTATGCTTATATTCATTATTGAATGTCTGAAGGGCATCCCTACAGTAATTATGCCCTTTTCGCTTCATATTTTATCGGGCATCTTTATTATGTTTCTATTCATTGCATAATGTTTGTAGGGCATCCTTATTCATTTTGATGGACGTAACGGCATTCGTAGACTGATTAAGCGCACATCCTCTTGGTTTTTTCTTATTCTAATGATATTCTTTATTCATGGCCATTTGGATTTTTGTGTACGGTTAAATACAAACTTTTAAGTCCGTACTGTTTTGATACACTGGGCCGGGCCGAGTTAACTTCATTCTAAAGTTGTCCTTAAGTCTCACACTTCTTAATTACCGGCATTCGCGGCCGCCCGGTCGTACTGTCCAAAAACACATAAATAAGGTGTAGCTGGCTGTCACTTGTTTCCCCCCCCCCCTCACTTTAGGCACAAACCTTCTATTGTAAGACCGGTAATGTAATACCTAGACGCTCTATTGGCACGGCCAGAGATCCAGTAATGTAGTACTCGAATCTGGAGACTTTTTTTTGGGATGTTCCATCCCATAGCCATATATTTAAATGCACAGTCTGCGTGATCTTTCACCCCCCCCCCCCAACTTTCACCCACCCCAAAGCCAAAGCATCTACTGTCACCCACCCCTAAACCCCACACTACTGAGCGTTCTTATTACATTTGAGAGACATTTCTCTTGGATTCTATAGCCGAAAACGGTGTTTTTCCCACAATTCGAACTAATTATATAAAGTGTCCAAATCTGTCAATGGTTTCCTATTTGTTTTAATTTTAACCACTAATGCTTGTTGATATTGTAATTTGTCTAAAATTGTGTGCTTACTAACACTGTCTCTTTATATAATATACCTAAACGCATGACTTTTATTCTAACCACTGGCCATTGAACGAACAATTTAAACCACTTTATTGCATTAGAGCGATTTTCGAATAATTTATTTTATTTTTGCTTGTGATTAAAAGGGCATTTGCAGATGAAGTAAGCCCGTATTATTTTTAGATAACTTGTAGGGGCACCCAAGAGAATTTATTCGGTTTTGATGCATATGAATATACTAAAGAATAAGAATGTCCGTATTGTTTCTGATGATGCATATGAATATACTAAAGAATAAGAATGTCCGTATTGTTTCTGAGACACTGTAAGGACACCCTCAAGAATAAGCATCAACAGATTTTTAATATACATTCTAGTGATATCATTTCAAACAATTGTGCCCATTTTATTTTTACAAGCTTTTATTTAACTCACTTCCTCGTCAGTCGTCAGTCGTCAGTCGTCAGTCTGTCTAGACGGAAACGCAGGAGTGAAAATTCGGACAGTTCTACTTGACCGACACGATTCACAGTTGGCACGTGGGTCAAGACATGAAGACAATACAATCTGAAACTAAATTTGACTTAATTGGATGCCTAATTGATTTTTTATGAATTAATTAAAATTTGGACCGAATTAGTAGGCATGTCTAGCCAACCACACCACACGCGTCATCAATAGCTGCGCCATCACGACCACGTAATGGCTGCGTTCAAAAACCATTGCGCGCCTACTGAACGTGATATTCAGTAGGCGCGCAATGGTTTTTAGTCATGTAACTCTATTGTAGATAAAACATGTAAAGTACTGAAAAAAAAATTCATAAAAAACGTTTTAATAACAAGCTTTTATGTAATGATGCACTAAAAAGTAGAAAATAAATTATAGACTACTATTTAAATAACTATAAAGAAAAGCGTGGGTGTCTTCCTTAACATTAGTAAAGGTATCCAATAGATACTAAAGTGACCCACGCTTTTCTTTATAGTTATTTAAATAGTAGTCTATAATTTATTTTCTACTTTTTAGTGCATCATTACATAAAAGCTTGTTATTAAAACGTTTTTTATGAATTTTTTTATCAATTGTAGGGCATACTAAAAGTTGTGTTAAAGTATTTTAATGCAAAGTAAAGTTATCTGTAAAGTAAATGGGCGCTTAAATAGAACTGATGTTATAAATAGTAGAGCCACCTGTAAAGTAAGTGAGTCCCTGGATTAATTCCCACACAGGGTTTGCATATGAATACTTGGGGCCTAGAGCCGACCATTAAGTGCGGGCCCCAAGTTTAGCGATACTAAAATTCTATCAAACATCGACAATGCGCACAAGCAGAAATCGCTGTGCTCTATGACTAGAATCGATATTTTCTCAATGTATCGAGTTAAGACGAGACGCTTTATTCCTACGTATCCGACTACTTCGACGTACGAGACAAGACTAGCATTTTTTAGGTCCGTAACTAGTACAGGCATCCAAAAAAAAAAATACACCTACATTGGTCAGAATACAATAGGGTATCCCAAATTTACATACCAGGTACAAGGGGGTGGAGGGGGAGGGGAAGGGCTCACTCAATCAACCCATCGCCAGCCACCAAACAATCACCCGGCGACCGTGGTTCTCTTCCCTGCACACGAGGTGTGCCACCAATGTGTTTCTATAAAATACAGCATTGTTCAAGTTCGAGATGGGGAGGGGGGGGGGGGGGTAACTTACTAGGCCTAACATCAACCGTGGCCTCAGTCGTAGCAATAAACAATGGCGAACTTTGACCTTTTAGTTTTTTTTCCAATTTAATTCAACGGTGACCGCAGCCCGACCCCGGTAGGGTAATGGAAACTGTAAATTCTTTTGTTGGGCTTGGCATATAGCCCCCCCCCCCCCCCCAACATCCGGCATGTCCCCATACTGTTTTCCTCCCTCCCCGAATGAGTCAGTCATTCTTTTGGATATATATGCATGGAGTCTTCTCAAGAGTTCAGCTAAGTCAATTTTTTAAAATGATTTTCTATTCGTATTCTGATTAATAACATAATGTGTGTTATAATTTATCGTCAATAGTAGGGCTACTAACGCTTTAAACACCGTAATTTATATATATATTATATATATATATATATATATATATATATATATATATATATAATATATATATATATATACAATTTATGGGGGGCATCTTCCTTTGGTTTTGCCCCGGGCAGCAACATAGCTCTGCACGCCACTGTATAGGAGCGTGGACAAAACGTCACCATGACAACGTTGTTTTCGCCCAAGCCTAGTTAATCCACGGCTTAGGGTTAATTTGTATTTTGAGGCAATTTTTTAGCAGATTTTTTTAAAATTTCACAAGGAAAACGGAAAAAAGATATGTCACACCTAAACCGAACGTTCACACTTTATTTTAATACTTTCATTAAAAAGATATAGCGTATTATTATGCAAAACATATACATTAAGTCCATTTCTCCCCCCCCCCCTTAAAGTTTCAAGTACCCACTTCTCCATGAGATATATGTTCGTAGATATGTACGTAGATGTAAGTTCTTCATAGTAGATGTGTTCAATATAGTAGAAATATGTTCAGTAGATAAATGTACAATATCTAAGGTTTTAGAGTACGTAGAAAGTGTGTGTGTGTGTTTGTGAGTAAGTAAATTTGGTGACGTCATTAGACAGAGGTGTGTGGGAGGGGAAGACATGCTAAAGCAGTGTGACGCCTTCTATGTACAGCCTCTAATGACATTTTTTTTTCAAAATCAAGTGGTCATCGATGTTTATTTTCAATTTAAAATGTTTCATCAAAAGTGTGGAAAGGGGGGGGGGGACTGCACCAGTTAGCACCCTCCCTAGTCACGCCACACTTCCCCGAATGATAAAAAAAAAATATGCGTTTAGAATATACAAACCTTTCCCCAACTAATAGAAATATACATATAGAATATACCCACCTTCGCCCAACATATAAAATATACCCACCTTCCCCCTACTGATATAAAATATACGTATAGAATATACCCACCCTCCCCAACTGATAGAAGATATACGTATAGAATATACCCACCTTCCCCAATTCATATAAAATATACGTATAGAATATACCCACCCCTCCCCAACTGATAGAAGATATACGTATAGAATATGCCCACCTTCCCCAATTCATATAAAATATACGTATAGAATATACCCACCATCCCCAACTGATAGAAGATATACGTATAGAATATACCCACCTTCCCCAATTCATACAAAATATACGTATAGAATATACCCACCTTCCCCAACTGATAGAAGATGTAAGTATAGAATATACCCACCTTCCCCAATTTATATAAAATATACGTATAGAATCTACCCACTTTCCCCAATTCATATAAAATATACGTATAGAATATACCAACCTTCCTCCCATTGATAGATAATATACGTATAGAATATACCCACCTTCCTCCCATTGATAGATAATATACGTATAGAATATACCCACCTTCCCTACCCCATTGATAGATAATATACGTATAGAATATACCCACCTTCCTCCCATTGATAGATAATATACGTATAGAATATACCCACCTTCCTCCCATTGATAGATAATATACGTATAGAATATACCCACCTTCCTCCCATTGATAGATAATATACGTATAGAATATACCCACCTTCCTCCCATTGATAGATAATATACGTATAGAATATACCCATCTTCCTCCCATTGATAGATAATATACGTATAGAATATACCCATCCTTCCTCCCATTGATAGATAATATACGTATAGAATATACCCAACCCTTCCTCCCATTGATAGATAATATACGTATAGAATATACCCACCTTCCTCCCATTGATAGATAATATACGTATAGAATATACCCACCTTCCTCCCATTGATAGATAATATACGTATAGAATATACCCACCTTCCTCCCATTGATAGATAATATACGTATAGAATATACCCACCTTCCTCCCATTGATAGATAATATACGTATAGAATATACACACCTTCCTCCCATTGATAGATAATATACGTATAGAATATACACACCCTTCCCCCAACTTATGGTTCCCTCGAATAAAATTTCCAGAAAGAGCGTGAGGGTAGCACGGACAATTTTCGTGGAGCTCATGGTCAGGCACAATTTCCGGGACACGTTGGAGTAGGTCCGGGGGTACAGGATCTCCAGGGCCGCCCCCGCGTTGATGATGTGGACCGAGGTTTTAAAGTTGACCGGTGCGAGTCCGACCTAAAGAGTAGATCAACACAAAATGTGTATATGTAACGATAGTGTGTTTTTTAATCAAATACTGCATTTAATTAAACATACTTGTAAGGCAGTGGCGTAGCTACCGTAAAGCTAGCGTAAGCAAGGCAGGCGTAGCTACCGTAAAGCTAGCGTAAGCAAGGCATAGGGGCCCAAGGCAAATAGGGGCCCTTTTACGAAAGTTTGAGGGGGGGCGGGGTGCAAATCGAAAGTCTGAGGGGGGGGGGGTGCAAATCGAAAGTTTGTTCCCGGTTGACGGGAAGGGTCGCTACGCCTCTGAGGGGCCCACTAACACTTTTTGCATAGGGGCCCAAAAATCCTAGCTACGCCACTGCATTGTAAGGTTTTATATCGCGTGTCAACACCAGCTACCCATATAGAAGACTGTAGTTTTATATATATATATATATATATATATATATATATATATATATATATATATATATATATATATATATATATATATATATATATATAGATATATATATATATATATATATATATATATATATCATTTCCTACGATGCCAAACCATGCGGACACACCGACTCTCTAACGCTCCTCACGCCCCCTCCCTCTCGCTCTCAAGGCATGCGCAACAGTGTGTACCCACCCACCCCCATTTGGACAACTGTGTCTTTCAGGAATTCTTTACCCGTAATTAAATAGCGGCGTATGATACGCAGTGGGTCTGCTCGTACATTTTATTGTACAAAATGAATTCTAGCACAACAATGATCACATTTATTTTCGGTGTTCGGGCCTGCTAGTCCATAGAGCAGAGGAAGTAGAGCTCACCTGTTTTTATTACCTTGGGACATGAAGAGACCATGTAGTCAGTTATATGCCTGGTTGTCTTAATTACATTACGGTGAGTCTGGTACCCAACCTAGATATGTGTGAACCCAGGCAAGTCATACATTTATACTTTTGGCTTAAGATTTTGTTAGTGATCAACACTATTTGGATTACTGTTCGGTAAACTTTCTATAAATATCAACTAACACAGTTGAGAAGATCCAGATGTTGTCCTTGTATCACCCCCCCCCCACACACACACAGCTGGTTGACCCCAAGGACAGGACATTACCTGAACAGCTTAGCATCAGCTGTGTCGCAGGAAATCAGAGTTGGTACTAGCCGATTAGATTTCAGAGTTTTCAATACGTTGCTGTCCACAGCGAACGAGCCTCATTTATGCACCAACTACCATGCTATTTCGCTGACCACATTATCACTTTACATGCCGAGGTCAAGCAAGAAACATATGAACTCCACTTCATCTGCCCAGTGGATCGTTAGGTCTAAAGAGCAATCTTTACTTTACCACGCTATTTCACGAGCAGGTTTTCTTTTAAACATTTCATTTCTGGTGGTGGTGGGGGGGGGGGGGGCACTTGAAACTTCCGGAGACCGGATGTTTAAAGGTATATATTTTCTTATTAAAATTTAATCTATTTTTCCTTTTCCTCCTGGGCTGGGAGGGGGGGGGGGGGAGTGAACGTGCTCGGTCGCATGTGTGTGTGTGTGGGGGGGGGGGGGGAGATGCCCTCCCGGAGAGATGTAAGAAATAAACACTGTTCATGATAAAAAAAAATGTCAAACTAAGACACTTACTTTTCGGCTCATTAAGTCTCGAGAGGTCAATTTGTTAATGACGTAATCCTTACAGATCCAAGCCACCTGTGATGAGCGAAACAAAAAATAAATAAATAAATCACCAATGGAGGAAAACAATTGTTTACAACAAAAGTGTATTGCGTAATTTTAAATTTGCTGAAAATTGTCTCCGTGAAATTGGATAGTGGCTATTTTTTTTAAGTCAAATAATGAAATTAAAATAAAAACAAAATATATAATTACACGTAGAGAAATTGTGTGCTTGTATTTTTTGGCGAATATATCAAATTGGAAAAATATTTTTTTAATTAAAGAATTAATTAAAACAAGGATTAGAGTTTATTATATAAAAACAAATTTTAAAAGGCTAGAAAAGCTCAAGAAAAACGTGTGAATATGGGCGTGGAAAAATACAAAAGCATCAGACGTTTTTAAATGGTAGGTAATGTTGTGCTTGACGTGGGAGGAGACACGAATAATGTAAGGGCGGTTAAACTTTAATGCTGATAGATGGGACTCTGGGGCCCACTAACTGCGTGATTGAGGATTGGATTGGTTAGCTTAGATAAACATGTGGTAATAGCTGAATCTGGATGGAGAGATGGATGATGGGTGGGTGGGTGGATGGGTGGGTGGATAGTAATTGAGATGGGCGGGGCTGGTGAGTTGTATGGACTGGATAACAAGATAGATGGTAAATGGACAATGGATGACTGGAATTGGTGGATGGAATGGGTGGATGGAATGGGTGGATGGAATGGGTGGGTGGGTGGGTGTTTGGACATATGTTGAGATGGATGGTGGGGTGAAGTTTCTCTAAGGCATCGTGTCGGATAGGGGAGCGAGGAGAGCGCAGTGATCCCCCTCTTCGAACCATTACTACCGTCATCGTCCCCTTCCCACAGACAAAATAGTAAACAAATAATTTATATAGAAAATATATACTTTAAACAGTGTACGCCCCCAACCCCTAGAAAACGTCAAGTACTCTCCCCCCCCCCCCCCCCCCCCCCCCAGCCTGGAGAAAAATGTCTGAAAGAAACACTGGTGGGTTGTGTGAGGATCAATCGGATATATGAATGTTGGTTGTGTTGGTGGTTGGATGGGTGTTAAAACAAAACCCAGAAAAAGACTTACCTGTTCCATGACCTCAGCCTCATAAACCAGCTTTGGCTTGTTCTGTTTGGGAACGAAAAGCTTCCCCACCGCCTTCCGCACGCCCTGACCTACTTTCTTGTACGCCGTCTGCGCTCCTTTGACGAAGGTCAGCAGGGTGACCTCGTTCTTCGCCTCATCCAGCTCCGACAGCCGCGAAGACGAGTTCCGTCTCATCCGGCGCCTGGCGGTTCCGGAATGGGAAGAATCGCAGGAGGAAGAACTCAAACGTCTTTCTCGGTTTGGATTGTTCGGCGGCAGAAGTAGAGATTGTGTAGCAGACGGAGGTTCGGGCAGACTCAAGGAGTTTTGAGGCGAGAGAGTGCCAATCTTGGTGACATTGTTGTTGTTGTTTATATTGTTGTTGTTGTGGTTGGGCGTGTGGTTGAAATCACCAACCATCATGCCGTTTCCGTTCTCGTCGTTGCGTCTGCGAGTGGGTGTTTCCGGTGGCATTCCGATATTGAGCATGAAGCAGGAATGGAACTTAAAGACCATCAAGCTGGGACCTGCAGGGGGAGAATATGGTTTTGTTTTTATTTAATTTTAGACACAGTTATTTTAAAATATCATAAATATAATAATTAGGCCTATATAATTATAATAATAATACTATAAAAACTTGTTAATAAAACTTTATTTAAAATAACGTTTTAATAAGTATTTAAATAATTATAAAAATAAGAAAATAAACGATGTTTATTAAATATTTAATAATACATTGTTATTTAAATAACTTTAAAGAAAAGCGTGGTTCGCTTCTTAAATTTTAGTTTTTCTTTTTACTTATTAAAATAGTGGTGCATCATTGTATATTTAATGAAAATAATTTATTTAGTGCATAATTATATGAAAGCTTGTTCTTAAAATGTTTTTAATGAATTTTTTTCAACACTTTAAACTTTTTTAATAGCTCTGCATGAATAAACACAATTGCGCAACAATTGAACACGAACACGTGTGTATAATAGTGCTGAAAATAGTACTTTACATAGTAAATTTAATTCTTAAAAATTGTCATTGGATCACGACCTACGTGCCAAGTTTCAAAGAAATTAGTGCTTTAGAAGTAATTGAAATTTCGCTCGCCAGTTTGGAGTCATAATACTAAAGACAGAAGAACGAAAGACATTGAAAGCAAGTTAAATAAAAGCTTGTAAAAAATCGAATTAAAAAAATATCGCTTTTTTCTATTTAAGCAATTTAACACATTTTAGATTTAATACACACGTATGCATCAATCAAACAATTAAAAAATAGAATCACTTTGCCAAAATATCCAGTGATTAATAAAGAAAAAACTGCAGCGTTTTCTTATTATTTTCAAACTGCTGCAAACTGTTGTTCAAGTATGTCGCGACCTGCGAAAACTAGCGCAACACCTTGTCAACTGAACACAGACTGGGACCGTAGACGATCGGCGTGGGGAGGGTTACGTAATCCTGGAGGGAAGCAGGTGAGAGACGGCGATTTGAGAGCCACGTGAGCAGACGCGAGCTAGCTGTCGTCTGCTGAGGTAATAAAGCAGAAGATTGAGCCTCGTTATGAGATGTGTGTGCTAAATGGTATCACGAGTCGATTTTCGTCGATGACATTTCGAATTTTTTTTTCTTCTTACATTCGCTTGACTTTCTTCTAGATCTATTCCTTCCGACATATTGTCTCTAACTTTATTTCTAAAAAGGTATTTAAAAAATTATTTTCTTGTTGTGTGGGCCCCGTTTTATTATTTTTTAAATACATAATTTTTAAATACATAATTTTTAAATACATAATTTTTTTTTCATATTGTTACATAGGCCATTACTTTTTAAAGTTGGAATTGACTACTTTTTAAAAAATGGGTATATCACTGTATATCTTTGTATTATGTTTAAATTCTGTTTATTTCTGTTACATTCAAATTTGTTGTATTTAGCATAGTTTGTTAAATTAGGTAACCCTTAATCATCTCTACATCAAAAAAGAATCCAGACCTTTTTTAAACAAAAGCCTAAAGAATACATTAAAAGTACAATGGCAGGATAAGGCAGAAAATGCAAAACAAATGCAAATGTGTCAGAGGCGTAGCGACTCTTCCCGGCGCCCGGGGACAAACTTTCACCCCCCCTCAAACATTTCATTTGCACCCCCCTCCTCAAACTTTTGATTCGCACCACCCCCCCCCCCCCTCGAACTTTACATTTGCACCCCCCCCCCCCTGTGATGACGCAAGATTACGTCAGACATGTTTAGCAGATATAGGTTAGCAGAAACAGACGATAGGCCTAGTTGGTTGGGTAGAGAGGCCAATGGGCGCACAGGGCTGACCGGTCACGTGGGACGGTCAGCTGACCACTGAGGCGTGGGGCAGGAGAGCGATAGGCGAGGACGGTGATAGGTAGCGGTCAGAGACGGCCGAGAATGTAGATAGTTAGGAGATCATGATTAGATAGCGAAGAGTAGAGAAGGTGTTAGGTTGTAGAATGTAGATAGTGTTAGGATTGGTCGTGGGAGTTAGTAGTATAGTGAACAGTCAGTAGTAGAAGTAAATAGTACAGTGTAGATCAGTTAGGTAGAAACTTGAACATATATATCATTTTAATAAAGAACAATTATAGTTGAACTTGAACTGCGTGTTGTTGGATTCATTCGTTCGCATCTTAAAACCCCCACCCTCACATCTGGTGGAGCAGCGGGTCGAGGACAGGAAAGACAGTATATTGGTTACTCATGACGGAGTGTACTGGTGTACAGCTTTCTTAACTCAACACAACAGAGGGTTTCTTCAACCGGAACGAGTTTGGATTACCAACACAAGGGAACAGTCAACATGTCCAAAAAGATAAGTACCTTCCAAAAATTTTTTAAACGTTTGGGTTTAGACTTGTGCTGGATATTTGGTGCCAGCGGTTTTTCTGCCTCTTTCTTGTCTGTTTCTTCAACCACACTACCCTTAAAAATGCCTCCATTGTACGAAGTGGGCACTAAAACTGAGCTTAAGTCAGGCCTAGAAGAGTCAGGTAGAATTAATAACTCGTTACTAGATATAAATGTTCAGAATACAGTCAAAGTGAAAAGCAATTCAAGAACTATTGAGGATCCAGATATTCTGGATGAATTGATTATTAGGCTTGGACAATACACGACAACAGAAAATCGAGACTGGTTATTAACTGTTAAAGAATTTGACGTAAAAACTCTAGATGATCCAGATGCTATGGAAGATTTGATCAATAGAATTGTAGATTACAAGGTATTCGGAGATCCAGATTCCTTGTTGACTGAAGAAGAATATGATGCAAAGATAGATGCCGAGTTAGCAGAGAAACAAAGAGAAGCAGAAACATATATTGCCGGACTTAAAGAAGAAACAGAAAGAATTCGTAAAGAAAGAGAAAAATTGAGAGAACTTTGCCAAGCCAAACAAGAAACGGTAATAATAACAACCAGACAGCTGAAACAACATTTTACTATTCCTACGATTCAGATTCAGATGACACGTTCAGTGAAGCAAGCGAAATACCTACTACAAAAAGTGAAACACCACATACACTCCAAAAACATAATAGCGCAAATCACAACATTCAGATTAACTACAGTCAACAAAAACACAATTACAGTGTCAGATGCTACTATTGTAATAGAACAGGCCACAAACAAATAAATTGCAGAATACGATATTATGATATACGCCAACAAGATGCACAACGCAACAGACCAAAATATAGACAGATTAATAGAATGGCATTCATATCATCGTTTACAGAAGCCAGTAAAAGAACAGACACATTTACGTCAAAAATTAATAGCAGATACGCCACAGCAATTAGGGACACACACTGCTCAACAGTGGCAGTACGTAACACATTCGTACAACATCACCAATACACAGGCAGAACACAACGTGTTCACAGCTCAAGAGGCAGCACATATGTTTGGCCAACAGCTATAGTCACCATAGCCACACCCTCAGCGTGTAAAACAGTTGAAGCAGCTGTTTTTAAAAACGGGCCATACGATGTGATATTAGGAAATATTAGAGGTGTGAAACAATTTAGAGTTGAAACTCGAGTGAACTACTTAGAACAACTAAGCCAACAACGCTCATCTTCAAGGAACGAACCTTACCAGAGACCACAGAGAAACAACCCTTCACAAAACCATAACCAACCAGTTGAAAGAATCCACCTACTAAACACATCAAGCTCGTTACCAACATTTAAGTCTAAAGTAAACGGACAGATAGTAAACGCAATTCGAGACACTGGTTGTTCGACAATGGCAGTAAAAGCCAAATTCGTTAAAACATGCCAATATACAGGCCGATATGTAAATGTGGAATTATTTGGCGGTATAATCGCAGAATACAAAACGGCATTGATCAATATTCAAACCCCATATCTAACTGGTCGTGTAATTGCTGTGGTCACTGACAATGGATCATATGATCTGATCATCGGAAACATAGTGAACAACGAAACTATTTCCCGAGTGGAAATCGACGATTGGGTACAAAGGGAAATAATTCAGATGGTCGAAACAAGAGAACAAGCAAGAAAAGCAAGAGAAAGCAACAAAAGTCATGAACCACCCGTCGACCTAAGTAGTCATCAAGCAGAAGGCCAACAGAACAATGCCATGGATAATACTGAGACCAAAAACATTTGGGAACCAGAAAAATTTCAGCTAGCACAACAAGAAGACCCGTCACTAGAAAAGATATTTAGACTCGCCCGTAAACACTCAATTACTACATCGAGGTCATCAGAACACTCTTTCTTTATTAAGAATAACACGCTTCAAAGAAAATATAAAAGCAAAGGACAAGAAATAAACCAATTAGTAATCCCACAGAAATACAGAGCACAAATTCTACACCATGCACACGACCTTACACTTGCAGGACACATGGGAAGAAAGAAAACAAAACAAAGAATTGAAACTACCTTCTACTGGCCGGGCATGGACAAAGACATCTCACAGTACGTGAAGTCATGTCAGACATGCAGGAATAGAGATACCACTAGACCACCCCAAGCCCCATTACAAACCACCGATTTAGCTAACAGACCATTCGAAAAAATAGCGATAGATATCATAGGACCACTGCCTACCCCATCAAAACGTGGTCACCGATACATCCTCACAATAGTCGACTTTGCAACACGTTGGCCAGAAGCCTTCCCACTAAAGACGATAACATCTGAGGATATAGCAGGCGCTCTACTCACGTTCTTCTCAAGAACCGGGTTCCCGGACACCATACTGTCAGATCGGGGCACACAATTTACCTCCGACTTAACAAGACAACTCACGAGTGTGCTGGGGATTAAGCAAGCATTCACGACGCCCTATCACCCTCAAAGCAATGGCGCGTGTGAACGACTAAACGGCACCATTAAATCGTTATTAGACAAAGTCTCTAAAGACAACCCAGAAAACTGGGATACCATGCTACCATGTATCCTATTCGCCTACCGAGAAATACCTCATTCTTCTACTGGATTTTCTCCATTCGAACTCGTCTACGGCGCCAACCCCAAAGGCCCCATGGATATACTTAGGACACTTCTCTACAAACAGAACATAGAACAAGAAACCAGAACAACATATGAAGCCATTGTCAATCTTAGAGAAAATATAATCAATGCATGCCAGGAAGCAAAGCTCGCGCTACAAGAAAAGGGAGAAATAGCAAGACACAGGGTGAACAGGAATAGAAAGCTACGCCAGTTCACAGTAGGGGAACAGGTCAGAATACTGTTACCTTCTAAGCACAACAAATTACAGCTTGCATGGCAGGGTCCATTCACAATCACAGCCAAAATTTCAAATGTAGATTACCAAGTCGAAATAAAAGGGAAGAAAAAAAACGTTTCACACAAATATATTGAGCCCTTACACCTTAAGACCAGAAGAGCTTGAAATTAAACAAACGGCAACAATAAACTGCGCAGAGTTACACGAAGATGACACAGACTCGATCGGCAAAATATACACATTACCTACTAACAAGGAAACATGGCAAGATATCAAAATCGGCAGAATGCCGCCAGAAATCGAAAAAGAAATCAAGGAAATATTAGAAAAATTTAAAGAGGTGCTATCCCCACAACCTGGTAAAACAGATACAATCGTCCATGATATTAAGTTGACTTCACTTAGAGCAACCAAAATGCCCGCATACAACATTCCCATACATCACAGAGAAAACGTACAAAACCAAATCCAAGAATTATTACAAGCTGGAATAATAGAACATTCCGACTCTTCATATGCTGCTCCTATTGTATTAGTAAAGAAAAAATCCCACGACCTTAGACTGTGTATTGATTACAGACAACTGAACAGCATTACAATACCAGACGCAGAACCAATGCCAAATCCAGAAGACTTATTTGCTAAACTTAAACAGGCTAAATACTTTACAAAGCTTGACTTATCCAGGGGTTATTGGCAGATACCAATAAAAGAAGATGTGAGACACCTAACAGCC